TGTATGTTGGTAAGGGATACATGAGTGATGGCCTCTTCAAATTGAATGTAATGACGGTTGTACCAAAACTTGCTATCAAAGGGAGAATAACACATCTTTTGCATATATTCTTGAGTCGAATTTATGTCATGGTAGATTAGGGCATGTAAATTTTGATGCTTTGAGTAAATTAATTGGTTTGGATTATATACCAAAATTTGAAGTTGATCCTAATCACAAATATGAGATTTGTGCAGAAGCAAAACTAACTAAGGCTCCATTTAAATCAGTTGAAAGAAAAATCGAACATCTAGAATTAATTCATACTGATGTATGTGATCTTAAATTTGTTCAAACTCGATGAGGCAAAAAGAATTTCATAACATTTATCGATAATTGCACAAGATATTGTTATGTATACTTAGAAGTAAAGATGAAACCTTAGAAATATTTAAACTCTACAAAACTGAAGTTGAAAATCAACTTGAAAAAACCATTAAAATGGTTAGAAGTAATAGGGGTGGTGAATATGATGCATCATTAAATGAATTTTGTGTACAACATGACATTATTCACCAAACTACAGCACCATATTTTTCACAGCAAAATGGAATTGCTGAAAGGAAGAATAGAACCCATAAAAAAATTATGAATGCCATGTTACTAAGTTCGGGCTTACTGCAGAACTTGTGGGGGGAAGTAATATTGTCTGCTAATTATGTTCTTAACAGAATACCGCACAAGAAATCTAACAGCACTCTTTATGAATTGTGGAAAGGTCGACCACCTCCCTACAAATACTTAAAAGTGTGAGGGTGTTTGGCAAATGTAGAAGTTCTTATTCCTAAAAAGACTAAGATAGGACCAAAAACAGTGGATTGTGTGTTTATTGGATATGCTTAGAATAGTAGTGCATATCGATTTCTGACTTATAAATCAAAAATACCTGATATAAATGTGAACTCTATTGTAGAGTCAAGGAATGCTGTGTTTTTTGAACATGTCTTTTCTTACAAGAAAGGACAGAAATTAAGTTCACAGAAAAGAAATTATGATTGTACACAAAGTCAAGAGACTAATGACAATCAAACACAAGAGACTAGTAATGGTCTCAACCAACAGGATTTAACTGATGATGAACTAAGACAAAGTAAGAGAGCAAGAACATCAAAATCCTTTGGTCCAGATTTTCTGACATACCTGCTAGAAAATGAACCTCAAAGCTTTAAGGAAGCAATGACAGGTCCTGAAGTACCTTTGTGGGAAGAGATTATTAATAATGAAATTGAATCCATTATGCAAAATCATACTTGGGAATTGGTGGATCTTCCACCCAGTTCTAAAACTCTTGGATATAAATGGATATTCAAGAGAAAAATAAAAACTGATGGTTCAATAGACAAGTATAAAATAAGACTTGTGGTAAAAGGTTACAGACAAAAGGAAGGCCTGAATTATTTTGACACATATTCTCTTGTGACACGAATAGCATCCATTCGCATGCTTATTGCTATAGCAGCGTTGTATAATTTAGAAATACATTAAATGGATGTTAAGATAGCTTTCTTAAATGGTGATCTAAATGAAGAGATCTATATCGAGCAACCCGAAGGGTTTGTAGTGCCGGGGCAAGAAAAGAGAGTTTGTCGGCTTGTAAAATTTCTTTATAGATTAAAACAAGCACCTAAGCAATGGTATGAAAAATTTGATCATGTTATACTTACTAATGGGTTTAAGGTATAAATGAATGTGATATGTTAAAAACACTAACCAAGGATATGTCATAGTTTGTCTTTATGTGGATGACATGCTTATTATTGGAAGTAATCAAAATATAATGAAATCAACTAAGTAAATGCTGAATAAAAGATTTGATATGAAAGATATGGGGGTCGCAAATATAATATTATGAATGAAAATTACTAAAACATTTAATGGATATGCATTATCTCAATCACATTATATTAAGAAAATTCTTGGTAAATTTATCAAGGATTATATAAATGTAGCTAGAACACCTATAGACATCAATCTTTATTTATCAAAAAATAAAGGTGATGCAGTGTCTCAGTTAAAATATTCCTAAATCATTGGAAGCCTAATGTACCTAATGAATTGTACTCGTCCTAAAATAGCTTATGTTGTTAGTAAATTGAGTAGGTACACTAGGAACCCTAGAGAAGACCATTGGAAAGTGATCATTCGGGTTCTTAGATATTTAAGATTTTCCCGTAATCATGGTTTGAACTTTACTCAATATCCAGCAGTACTCGAAGGTTATTGCGATGCCAATTGGATATCAGATACTAAAGATTCAAAATCCAGTAGTGGATATGTCTTTACTCCGGGAGGCGCTGCTGTTTCTTGAAAATCCACGAAACAAACATGCATCGTACGATCCATAATGGAATCTGAGTTCATTGCTTTAGACAAAGTAGGAAAAGAAGCAGAATGGCTTCATCACTTCTTAGTGACGAAGTCATTCCAATGTGGTCAAAACCTATGCCAGCTATCTGCATTCATTGTGATAGTTAATCTGCAATAGGCAGGGCACAAAATCATATGTATAATGGTAAGCTACGACATATTCATCGTCGACATAATACCGTAAGGCAATTGCTCTCAAATGGAATAATCTCACTAGATTATATAAAATCTAAAGAGTATATTGCGGATTTGTTAATAAAAGGTTTGACTAAAGAGCAAGTATATAGTTTATCAAAGGGGATGAGATTAAAACCTATTACATAAGAGTCATCATAATGGTAACCCTACTTAAATGACTGGAGATCCCAAGAACTAAGTTCAAAGGGACAACTAAGTTATGTGTGGCTCGCCATAAATCACTAAAGGATTAAAATTCCTTACTCATTCCTATGGTGAGAGTGATATCTGCAACATATGTCGTATGCAGGGTTTTAAGGATAAGCTTAGTTTTTAATGATTACTTATATCTTGATTTAGGCATAAAATCAAGACGAGTATAAGGGATACTCATAATAAGAATCACCTATATGAGTGTCGAACTGGGGCCGGTTCTATGAAAATGAAGAGGCTAAATTCTCTAGAAGTACTCATGAACAACCAGGAGTGTTCAAGACCAAAATGAACACAATCGTGAGAACCACAATGTGTCAGAAGATATTTTGTGTGAAATCTATTATTTTGGCTTACACAAACGGCTGAACAATTCAAGGCATCGCGTCCATTGGTTAGCTAGTAAGTCCGATAGGTTATCACTAGGGAAGGTTCAAGGCCGAAAGCTACCTATCCTGATGCACGATACTTTTGATTTATACTCTGTCGACAAATTTTGCATATTGTGGCATTTCCGTTGTAATCAAATTCCATTCATGTTGAGGATTGTTAGAAATGGTTTTGGAAATTAGATTTTTCCTCAACTTTGGTCTGTGTTTTAGGTGGGACCCATGTGCCAAATTTGACGGGTGTAAGTGGCAACGCGTTCTATGCCGTGTTATGATTCACGTGGTATATTTGGTTGCTCAAAACCATTATCGGGTGAATAGGAAAATGAAGCCAAAGAGAGCTCCATGGAAATAGTGTTTTTGGCGAAATTTCCTAAATGTTTGAATAAAGACTTGTTCCATATTGATTTGATGAGAAACTTTGAGTGGGTTTATAAGGCTTGGGGTTGGAACTTGGGGTAGGCTTCAAGGGGCACCCAAGTTTTGTAGAGAGTGAGGTTATGAGCAAAATGAATTAGACCCATTGGACCCAAAATAAACATGCGCCGCCGCCGTCCGGTCGGTCTGGCATGGGTGCGTGGTGTGTGGTTGGGTTGGGCTTATCCAGCCAAATACCTATCTTTTTGGGTAAAAAATATTTGAATTTTATTTTCTAAAATTAAATTCTAATTTTTTGAAATTTGAATTTCAAAAATTAATTTCAAAATTGGCTCCGGTTTTATTTTCCCCACTCGGACAAATTCAAATATGTTTAATACATGTTTTATCTGTTCAAAATTTGAACCAAACAGATTTGTATCTGTTTATTCAAACCGAACAGGTACCATACATGTTCATTCAAATCTGTACAGCCACGAAATCATCTATAAAGAAGACATGCCCTCATTTGGATTTTTTATTCACAATTTTCGTTCTTCTCCTCTGCTATAAATCTCTGCATTTTGCTGTATTAAATTTCTGTGAGAAAAAGTGTAAATACTTAGTGTGTTCGTTATTCAAACAATTTGTAGTACTGTTATTGTTTGTTGTTAATCATTTTATCTTGGGAGATAAACGTCCACATTCTGAAAGTACCGTGGAGAAAACGAATCTGTCTTAAGAACACAGTGTTAAACACTGGACTTGATCAGAAATTTTGTTTAAGAAATTAATTTGGTAAGTAATTAATTTATTTTCTGTTTTATTATTTTTCTGTTTCAAATTTTCATTTTGTTTTTGTAACAAAATAAAAATTTATTTTATTTATTTTATTTTATTTTCTGGTTTGATTTTTGTAATCAAACAAACTCTCTCATTTCCTTTATTTCTTCTGTATTCCGTTTTGTTGTTAAGTATACAAACAGAATTTATTTTTTCAAATACAGTGAAGATTGTCCAACAAACATAACCTTAGAAGAAGAAAAAAAGAAAAAAAAAGAAGCAATTTGTGCCGAAAATTAGTTCATAACCTAATTTGTCCCACCCCTAAAAACTTAGGGCTCATTAGGTTGTGGAAAATAAAATTCACTCCGTTGTTTTTTGTTTTTCCATCGAAAAATCTCTCCAAGATATAGCCACTTCGAAAAATTACTCCACACTTAATCACATGTCAACAATTTGGACGAGGCAAGTTTGCGTGCATCACAAATGGTTCACCCTAATAGTTATTGACAAATGAACTAGTTATATAATAAGATACGTAGCCTATTCCATTTTTAATAGTGGAACCTATAATCTCCTCCTTATTAGAGTATCTCGGTGGCCAATCGAGCTAAAATTCATTAGCTAAATCATTCCATTGTTGAATTCACTAATTCAACAATATCTATCATTTCGTGAGTAAATTCAGATTTTGTCTATCATATTCATCTTGCCCACACCAAATTTAAATTTATTACATTCAAATTCTCATTATTATTTAAAATACAAAATATTAGTAAAACATTAGTAAATAATAATGCTTGTTAGCCTTGCAAAAAAATTATTAAGTCCATAGCCTTCCTTGCTCACATGGACGCAAGTGAGTCCACAAGCTGAGAATTGATAGAATCAATCAATCCAATTATTTCATCAAGTGCAGCACTCTCTGTGAGTATATCTGTATGAGTAACACCAGGAACCCTAATAAACTTGAGTGTTTGATTTTTCGTCTCCTTCCATTCCGATTCCACCGCCAACAAGCTCACCATATTCACTGTCCCATCTCCGTCACCATAAACAATCTCTGGCTGCTTATCAAACCCATCTTTCCCATAAAACAAAGTCTCCTTCGTCTCAACCCCGGTCCCAATCACGCACGTAACCGGCACTCCGGGCGGTTCCAACTGATCGACCAACGGCAAAACCCTAGTTTCATACCTTTGTTTGGCATTCGGAATCCCTAATTCGTCCAAAAACTGTAGTATGTCATATGCCGTGTACGTCGCATTTGGCGTGATCACAAGAGGTTTTTTTGGACCGAACGGTTTAGGGTTCGGCATGAGCCATAGGTTGCTTTCGGAGCTTCTTTCCTCATCTCTGACAAGCAATGGATCGACTAGGGGGACACCAAGTGTGGTCCCGGAGGCGAAAGCGAGCATTTCCTCCACTGCACCGCCCCAGGGGGTGGAGAGAGCGATGAAGTGTTTGATGTAGTTTTGGCGCCAAGAGGGCTGGGATCGGTTGAGGAGCTGGAGGACAAAGAGGCCGCCGAGGCTGTGGGTTACGAGGATGACTGGTTTGCCACCGTTTGAAGCGCTTGATGATTCAATTAGGGTTTTTAGGTCCTTGAGGAACTTGGAACCGACGTCGGATGGGTGGCCCTCAGCAGCTAGACCATACCGGAAATCATAGGGAGCTCCGAACAGGGTTTTTCCATCGACATAGCCGATTTTCTCTAGGGATTGGACTAGGGCTGCCATGTATGGTGTGAATGGCCTGTTTGGTGAAGTTGCAGTCACATGAAGATATTGAAATGAGTCGGTTAGGATAGTTATGCATTGGCTTGAAAATGAATGGTGCATTCAAATTTCTAACAGGACCATGCAATCAAACAATATTGGTATTTGATGGAACAAATATTGAGTTGATTTACACTATTTTTAGATGGTTAATAAAATGTCGTAAATAAGATTAGGTGATCAATGCTCATCTCTCACTAATCTAATTAACTAGTTATACAGCATAAGATTTCTCATTAATTGCTTCTAGTTTAGTCTTTCTGTTAACTTGCTTCTTTTCTTGTTCTCTCTTGTTGGTTCCTCACCAGCTGGCGCTTGGTGCTTTTTAGCACCAAGCTCCTCTTTATTGATGTAATATTGCTCTTTGTATGTTTCATCAATAAAGATTTAACTTTGCCGATCAAAAAAAAGATTTCTCATTAATTGATGATGTTCGGTTGTTAGGGCATTGGTCTCAAGACCACCATTTTTAGTTTTTCCCTTTTATTTTATATATATATATATATATATTTTTTTTTTTTTTGGGATTTAACAGTTAGTAAATTTTTATAACAGTGAAGCCAAGTATCACTGTCCAATAAAAACACCTTGTATAACCGTCTAATAATAGACATAAAATTCTCTTTCATAATGAAGTATACAATATGGGATAAGAAATTTCACGATTTGGATATTAATTAGTAGAACATTCAACGTAATTTAATAATTAGCATCTGCATAGTAAAATACTCTAAACAAACATGCAGAGAGATTATTGACGTTATAATATGCCGATATTTATTGAATTTTGTAACTCTTTATATGAATAATAATGTTAAATATTTTAAATTTTTTACTAAATTTTTTACCAATTGAACACTTACATGAGTGTGAATCTCACATAGATATAGATCCCACGCCCAGTCTTTGATCAAATTTTTAATATTTTTTATTTATTATTTTTTTTATCCCTAACGTTGTTCTTTTATAGAATGCAAAGATGTTACATAAATTCGGATTTGGGGATATTGCGGTACAACGTACTCATCAATAACTATGGTGAATTAAAGCTACACCGTTTGTATCATGAATCCGGATCCTTGGTGGCCCTTTCCTGCCGCGCATCCCTGTAACCCTCCAAAACGACGTTGTTTTAGAGGTTTTTTTTTTTTGTTTTCTTCTTCTTCTTCTTCTTTCTTCTTTTGCTTTCCCCTTCTCATTTTTGAACCCTTGCCTATAAGACAGAGAGGCAGATCTGGAGAAGGGTTGGTTAATCAACCAGGAGACCTCACTGGGTTGGTTAATCAACTTGGTGACCAAAATCAAACCCAGAAACCAGAGGGGAAGAAAAGAGAGAGGATGAAGGGGGGCCAAAATCAAACTCACCTCCATGAAATCAATCAGCAAAATGCCAAGCTTTAATCAAACTTCACATTCAACCTCTCTCTCTCTTTCTTTGCTCCTTTTTTTTTTATACTTATTGTTGATGATGATGATGAAATTATTCTGTATTCTTGGGTTTGATTTTAGTTCGTCTCTCCCTCTCTTTCTCTACTCTTTTATCACTGTCCAATAAAAACACCTTGTATAACCGTCTACTAATAGACATAAAATTCTCTTTTATAATGAAGTATACAATATGGGATAAGAAATTTCACGATTTGGATATTAATTAGTAGAACATTCAACGTAATTTAATAATTAGCATCTGCATAGTAAAATACTCTAAACAAACATGCAGAGAGATTATTGACGTTATAATATGCCGATATTTATTGAATTTTGTAACTCTTTATATGAATAATAATGTTAAATATTTTAAATTTTTTACTAAATTTTTTACCAATTGAACACTTACATGAGTGTGAATCTCACATAGATATAGATCCCACGCCCAGTCTTTGATCAAATTTTTAATATTTTTTATTTATTTTTTTTTTTTATCCCTAACGTTGTTCTTTTATAGAATGCAAAGATGTTACATAAATTCGGATTTGGGGATACTGCGGTACAACGTACTCATCAATAACTGTGGTGAATTAAAGCTACACCGTTCGTATCATGAATCCGGATCCTTGGTGGCCCTTTCCTGCCGCGCATCCCTGTAACCCTCCAAAACGACGTTGTTTTAGAGGTTTTTTTTTTGTTTTTTTTTTGTTTTTTCTTCTTCTTCTTCTTTCTTCTTTTGCTTTCCCTTTCTCATTTTTGAACCCTTGCCTATAAGACAGAGAGGCAGATCTGGAGAAGGGTTGGTTAATCAACCAGGAGACCTCACTGGGTTGGTTAATCAACTTGGTGACCAAAATCAAATCCAGAAACCAGAGGGGAAGAAGAGAGAGAGGATGAAGGGGGGCCAAAATCAAATTCACCTCCATGAAATCAATCAGCAAAATGCCAAGCTTTAATCAAACTTCACATTCAACCTCTCTCTCTCTTTCTTTGCTCTTTTTTTTTTTTTATACTTATTGTTGATGATGATGATGAAATTATTCTGTATTCTTGGGTTTGTCTCTTCTCCCTCCTTTTTTCTCTTCTTTTTTTTTTTTTTTAGTTATTGTTGCTGATGATGATGATGAAATTATTCTGGGTTTGATGATAATGATGATGATGATGATGATGAAATTTGATTTTAGTTATTGGGTTTGAAATTTTGGATGGGTAAAATGTTTTGATGATGCTTGATGAAATTTTGGGTGGATGCTAGGGATGGCAATTTGAAACCGACCCGACGGAGATCTCTAATCCCGACCCCGATTTGGGCAGTTTTTTCTCGAAAAATACCCCCGACGGAGAGAAGACGGTATCTAAAAATCAATCCCCGATCTGTTTCGGGCCGGGGACGGTGATCAGTGTTTAAGCCCCTGCCCGGCCCGATTCCCGGCTTCGACCCCGGCCCCGTCCCCGAATTTTCCCGAAGTAAAATTACTTTTATACCCCTTATATATATATATATAAAATAAACCAAACTGTATATTATATTTATAATAAACCAAATCTGAGTCATGTGTTGCTCTCATACTCACTCTCTAACTCTGATCTGATACATCTCTCCCTCTCTCACTCTCACTCTCCTCTCAACTCTCTCTCACTCTCTCGTTCTTCTCTCTGGCCTCGACCCTCCCTCTCTCTCACCGACGGCGACATCACCACCACCGTTGGCCCCGACCTCCCCCCCTCTCTCACCGACGGCGACATCACCACCATCGCCGCACAAGGTCGTGTGTGTGTGTGTGTGTGTGTGTGTGTGTGTGTGTGTGTGTGTGTGTGTGTGTGTGTGTGTGTGTGTGTGTGTGTGTGTGTGTGTGTGTGTGTGTGTGTGTGTGTGTGTGTGTGTGTGTGTGTGTGTGTGTGTGTGTGTGTGATTTGATGATCTGTGTGTGTGTGTGAATCACAGATCTGATCTGATCTGTGCTGTGTGTGCCACCACCACCGAACCTACGCAGCGTGATTTGATCTGTGATTGTTATTATTATTTTTTAAAATTTAAATATGTAAATTTAGATCTGTAAATTTTTTTTTAAAAATTTAAATTTAGATCTGATTTGTTGTTTTTGTGTTGAAGCTCGGGGTATTTTCGGGGTCGGGGAAACCCGATCCCCCGTTTAGGGAAGGGGACGGGGACGGGGGGGTGATGGGTTCCCCCGCTGGGGATCGAGGGCGGGGACGGGGATTTTTCAGCCTTCGGGGATCGGGGACAGGGAGTGTAGTCCCCGGCCCCGCCCTGCCCCGTTGCCGTTCCTAGTGGATACAGAATATGGTGGATACAGAATACAGAATGCATGATGAAATAAAAATGTTTTAATGATGCTTGATGAAATTTTGGGTGGATAACTCTCTCTCTCTCTCTCTCCTCATTTTAGATTGCTAATTGAATCAGAGAGAGGCATAGAGGAGGAAGAGGAGCAACAATCATCGACCCAAACCACCCCTCTCCTCGGCCTTCCACGGTGGTGCCACCGCCTCACCACTCTCCCATGCGCCACCAACCTCTGCCTCAAAACCACGATCTGGTCCGAACTCGGGGGCTCCGTCAGCGACCTCACCACTCTCATCTTCACCTCCCTCTGCAACAACTCCACCAGCCTCCTCTTCGGCACCCCATGCCTGTCCAACCCATGAAATCCATCGCCGCCGCCGCCGTCGCCATCTCCATCTCCAAATCCCCTCACCTCACTATCCCCCAAATCGCCGCCGCCGGAATCTCCATCGCCTCCGTCCTCCACCACCTCTGCCTACAATGAAGAGAGAGAGAGGGAGAGAGAGAGAGAGAGAGAGAGAGGGCAACAAAAAAAAAACCCTCTAAATCGACGTCGTTTTGGAGGGCGACAGGAATGCGCGGCAGGGGAGTGCGACCGGGGATCCGGATTCTTGTGTCATTGCCACAAAGTATGAACATGCTTTTTATGTTTAGTGTTGGGAAATTATAGACTATTTCTGGACTACCACGTATCCGTACTTTTGACCAATCATAATTTATTCTGTCATCTCATATTTCTTAATTACTCAACACAATACCTCACATTCTCACATTTTTCACAATCACAATACTATGAAATACCATATGTCTATACTCTGAAATTACGGAATAATTACCAGTTTGGTGTTCACTGATGGTTGCAATCTTCAAGTACACCAGCCTTTTTTAGTTTTTTAAAAAAATATTTTTATTAGTTGAAGAAATAATTTTTTGTAATGATTTTTTGCATGTCGCTAAAGATTGACTATTAGTGACGTATTTTTTTTGTCACAATTTTTTATAAATTGTCGTTAAAATTTATAATTAGTGACCCTTTTTATGACGAATTTTTTTAATTGTCCCTAAAATCGTCACTAAAATTATTCCTAAAATTTAAAATTAGTGAACCTTTTTTAATTTTTTTATAGTTAATAATTTTTTTTGTGACGATTTTTTAAATCGTCACTAAAAACATGTCTAAGTCATTATGCCAGTGGCTGAAACAGAAACCGAAACAGAAACGGTGTAGTTTTAAATCACTGCAGTTACTGCTGCCCCGCCTGCGTGGATCACGTGTTCCGCGCATACTTCATCTTTGTTGGGCTGTGTTATTAGAATCAAAATCCCTCTTTTGTACTTGGGTTTTTACTTGTGAGGTTTTTAGACTTAATTTTGATCATTCGAATCGTTTATATTTTAAAATTAATTGAATATACTGTAAAAAATCAAGTTGATCGAATATCAAAAAAAACATGTATTCGAAAAATTGTCTATTAAATTTAAAAAAAAAATGATTTTTAATTCGATAACAGTAATCATAAACTCATATCGGGCAGGAACAGGAACAGAGAGAGAGAGAGAGAGAGAGAGCGCTTTACTTACTTGAAATCAGGATCAAGGTAGAGCATGGACTCGGTGGAACCAAATCTAGAGACTCTTGTCTCAACCCCAGGGGCATTTCTGTAATCATCCAAATCAGCGTCGTAGTAAAGCGTCATTTGTTCAGCGAAGCATTGTGTGTACTGTGACAATAGCACGCTGATGTCGAGCCACAGCGTGAACCATCCCTCCTTATCCTTCTTAGGCGGCGGCTGCTTGCTGCAGAGCAAGCTCGGCGCCTTGTACTCCACCGTCAGCCGAGCCTCTAGCTGATTCCCTCCGTTCCCTGGCACTACAATCAGAGGGTGGAGATTGCTTCCCTGACACGTGTACACCATCATCATGGCCATTGAGACCGTTGCCAATTTGATGATGTCAAGTCCCTTCATTTCAATCAATTAGCTATCACCACTTTGATCTAGAGAGCGCGAGAGAGGGTGTGTTTAGCTACGTGTTCATGAATGTTTTTATAGCTTGCTGTGAGTGGTGAACACAGTCAGTCCACGTGTACGTGGTGCAAAACGTGTTCCATGCTTCATTGCTTCCTTCTTGTTGAGCTGTGATTGAATTGTTAGTCTCGAGGCCCAAGCCCGTTTAATGCAACAAATCAGCATGAAAAAGTTGTCAAAAGTTTGGGAGATTCTATTTACACCAAAAAAAAATTATTTAGTACGTTTAATATATCATACATTTTTTCTCAAATTTAAACTTCAAGATAAAATCATAATTTGTAATACACACAAATAATAAAGGAAAAATTACCAGAAAGTTCCATATGGTAATCAGTTACTCCAAATAGTCCCATGAATTTTTTCATACATTGTTAGGTCCTCTTTGTTTTGACAATCTTACCATAAGATCCTATTTTAAATTTTGGTATGATTTGGTAGACGTTTCTACCATTCCTCATTAAAGGACGCCATCTTAGGGAAGTTAGATCCAATTTTTGGATCACGTTTTTCGTCACTTTAATGTAAGAACGTCACATACTAAAAAACTAAGTATACTTTTAAAAAACGTAACACTACACCAACGTAACACTAAAAGACTCCTCCAACACTATAACGTAACACATTAAAAGATCTCATTAGTATTTTTTTTTTTTTTAAACATAACACTCCAATAACATAACACTTCAATACTCCAACATAATATACTAAAAAACTCCTTAGTGTACTTTTTACAAACGTAACACTCCTCCAACGTAATACACTAAAAACCTCCTCCAACGTAACACAATACACTAAAAAACTTATTAGTACATTTTTTTCCAAATGTAACACTTCTCTAATGTAACACATTAAAAAACACTGCAGTATACTTTTTCCAAACGTAACATACTAAAAAACTTCTTAGTCCAACATAATACTAACACTCCAACATAATACTAACACACCAAAAAACTCCTTAATATATTTTTCACAAACGTACCACTCCTCCAACGTAACACATTGAAAAACTTCTCAAACATAACACTATAACATTACACGCTACACTAAAAAACTTCTTAGTGTACTTTTTACAAATGTAACACTCCTCCAACGTAACATACTAAAAAATCTCAAACGTAATACTTTGATGTAACACACTAAAATAGTCCTTAGTGTATTTTTTCCAAACGTGACATTCTAATATAACACTAACACAATAAAAAACTCGTTAGTGTACTTTTTCCAAACAAAATACTCCAACGTAACTCCGCAAATGTAACGCTCTAATATGATGGGCAAATGAGTCATTACCTATTCAAAAGGACTAAATGAATCACAAAAAAAAAAAAAAAAGATTATATGGATTACAAGTCCAAAATATGAGACTTATTGGCCAATCATCCAATAATAAATACTCCAAAACTCCAAATTATATCACTTAAAAAAACTCTTTCAAAAACTCTTAAACAGATTTCATTACACTTATTACTTTTGTTCACAATTGGCACACCAAATTCTCACATAGTTTCAACATTGCGTAGCATACAAGCTTGAAGATCATAATGCATATTATAACAATTGTCATCATGTTTGCTTCTACAAAATGATTATTTTATGATATATTTGCTTCTGCCAGTGAAGATGGTAGTTGAAAAATTAGATATCATTATTTATATTTTACGTTTTTGTTATTATAGGTGAAGGGGCTAAACGTGAAATGGGTCGGGTCCAAGCCTTGGGCCGGTCCAATCCACTGAAGTCCAAATCCAAGTGGGTTGGATGAGTATATGGGCAAACCAATTAAGTCCAACTTCATGACCAACAGTCCACCCAAGTCCTCAAGCACTTGGGTCCAACCCGCAGTGGAAAGGCCAGTCCAGCCGTGGTGCTGGGCTGGGCCGAGCTGCGAGACTGAATCTACGGGCCGAACAGAAAATAGGTTGAGCCCATGCAAAGTTACCTGAATGGACAAGCCCATATCCATGAGTGATCCTGTAAAAGGCCGAGACAAGGCATAATGATGCCGAGCTGAGGAACATTGGTACCGAGCTGAGGAAACCTCGCAAGGAAACGTGGAAGCTGTGAACGTGTGCATGTGCAGGTTGCCAGCTCAGCTAGTCCCCTACACCTAGAATCACGGAAGTTGTTGAGCCAAAGGAATGTGGTTTGTTATCAGTATGACTATAATGAGTATATGCATCTATTGGCAACTAACAGGTGATCCCCCACCATGAGCAATGCCAAAAGGACACCTGGCAGCATCCAAGCTCCATGAATCCACCTTGAAAAGCAAGTAAGGAACAACATATATATACTATATGAACTTCACATTGAAGGTAACTGAATAGAACTGAACTATTCCAAGCAAAACCATACTTAACTCCCTTCTCCAATCACTAATTCCCACACCGAAGGGGTCATCTAGCCAACCCCGGCCGGGTAGCTCTAACGGTGCCTCTTGTCGCAGGAACTTCAATCCCTGGATAGTCCAACCGAGTGCGAAGCCCCGATCCACTTTCATCTAGGGCGGAATCCGGTACGTACAATTGGTGCGGTGAACGTGGACACTTCATCTCTGAGCTTTGCACTCAGTTCCGGCAATGGGCAGTGAGGACGTTCCGCCTTCAACACATACTCCACAGACGGAGAAGACGAAGGATAAAGGTTTGGCACTCCCAACAGTCCCGGTGGAACAAACCGGAAACAATAATCGAACCCCTGAATCCGTCGAGCACCGATTACCCATCGCTGGAGGCTCCTCTTATCACTTTCTTCTAGAAAAGGATTATAGAGATCGCATCATAGATTCCATGGGGATGGAGATACAGGAGTTGAAAGCCCAACTTAAGAGGGTGCTGGGCGATCCAACAGAAAAGAAGACGGAAGCGGAGCCCTCTCGTTTGTGACAAAGGAGCTCATCCAAAGAGCCACCAGTGAAGAAATTCCCCAAGAATGAGTCGGGGCAACAAAGCCAGCCTATCCCGGTACAGAGTGAGGTAGCAAGCAGTCACACCCGAGGGTCACGCCGGAAAAGGGGCAAGAGGCAGAAGACCGTTAGTCAACAGACCGAATATCCTCCTCAGGACTTTCGTACATGGTTGATTGGCAATAGGCAGAATGAACAACATTGGGATCATCTGGACCGTACTGTTCACCAGATGGAACATCTAGCGCTGGACAGGCTCGTCTCTTCGCCATTCTCCCCGGAGATCGAGACCATGAGACCTCCAAAGAAATTCACCCCACCAAAGTTCACTTCATACGACGGGAAGCCAGACCCGCTGACACATATTAGCCACTATAGACAGATGATGTCCCTATGGAACCGAGATGAGGCACTGATGTGTAAAGTCTTCCCATCCAGCTTGGGAGAAACCAGACTTTGATGGTTCGATCGTCTCCCCGCTGGATCGATCCATGGCTGGAAGCAGCTCTCTGAAGAGTTCCTAGCCAGGTTCGTCTCCAACACTAAGATCCCGAAGGAGCCGGATACACTGTTCGGCCTCCGAAAAGAGCAGGAAGAAACGCTGCGTAATTATGCTAGGAGGTACTGGGAAGAATACAATGACCTGGAGAAAAATGTGTGCAACGAGCAGATGGCCGTTATATCCTTCAAACATGGTCTGCGCCCGGAAAGTAAGCTGAGACAATCACTTACCAAGCGCCCAGCCACAGCTTTGAAAGATTTGCGTGCCAGGATTGAGCAGTACGCTCGTCTCGAAGACGATCAGATCCCCATCGAGGTAGCGTCAACAGAACAAACAACTCGGCATAAGAAGAGAACAGATCGAGGAAAACACCGAGGGATTGCAGTAAATAAGGTGGATAAGTCCAAATCCCATGAAGCCGTTGTGACTGTATTCAAAGAGCCAATCTATCAAATTCTGGAAAAGATCAAGAGAGAGCCGTTCTTTGTTTGCCCGCCGAAAATGTTAGGAGATCCAGCTCGGCGCAATCAGAAGCTCAGATGCACTTACCACCAAGACAGGGGGCATATGACTCAGAGCTGCAAGGCACTGAAGCAACACTTGGAAGACCTAGTGGCAGCTGGACACCTAAGGGATTACATTGATCAGGATAAGGAAATGAACGAACCAGGGAACCCACCACCAGAAACAAACATTGAGCAACCACCTCGGCTAATATTAAATGTGATCCACGGGATAACGATTCAGGAATCTAAGGAGGCACTGAAGGAAGAGATTGCTAAGGCTGCGCAAATTCAGCGGGTCATGTGAGTGGAGCCTGCATCAAAAAAGGTACGTACAATACTTAAATCCCCCTTGTGCACAGTTTCATTTACTAGCAAAGATTTAGAAGGCATACAGCACCCACAGACTGATGCATTAATTATAACTGTGGGAATTGGGAAACGATTTGACGTAAAATGAGTCCTAGTAGATCAGGGCAGTGCAACAGACATACTGTATTACGATTTATTCAGAAATCTTGGTCTCTCCGAGCAGCACCGTTGGTCGGTTTCAATTCACAGCCAGAATGGCTGCTTGGCAGAATAGTGTTGCCAGTCGTGGCGGGGACAAAAACCCTCCAGATAGAGTTCTTGGTTATTAATACACCATCCCCTTACAACGCCATACTTGGCCGTCCGTGGATTCATCGAATGGAAGCAGTCCCTTCAACCTATCACCAGCTCATCCGTTTCCCAACGGAACACGGAGTAGAGCAGATTTCAGGGGATCAAGTTGCATCCAAATATTGCTTCATGGCAGCATTAAAGGCAAAACAGTTCTGTAATCGGGTACAGACGGTAGAAGTGGCCGAACAGCCAATCTTGGAAGATGTATGGGGAACCCTAGAGGAAAAGATGGTAGAGGATTTGGAGAAAGTCTTGGTAAAAGAAGACGACCCAGAAAAGTACTTCCTTATCGGTACCTCGCTAGGCGCTGATGAAAAACTTCAGCTGCTGGAACTGCTGAGGGAAAATATGGAGGTATTCGCATGGTCAGCATATGATACTCCAGGGTTGGACCCAGAATTTGCTTGCCACAAGCTCAACATTAACCCTTCAGCTCGGCCCATTGTGCAAAAAAGTCGGAGATCGTCAGTCGAGCACACCGAAGCAGTAATTGCCGAAGTCGAAAAACTCCTGGCTTCAGGAGCAATCAGGGAAGTTCAGTACCCGCAATGGTTGTCCAACACGGTTGTAGTCAAGAAGAAGAACGAAAAATGGAGAGTTTGTGTTGACTTCACTTGCTTGAACAAAGCCTGCCCTAAAGATAGCTTTCCGCTACCTCTCATTGATCAACTAGTGGACTCAACAGCAGGGCATGAGCGCATGAGCTTTTTGGACGCTTATAGCGGTTATCATCAGATACCACTGTTCAGTCCGGATCAAGAAAAAACAACGTTTATCACTCCAAGGGGAACTTACTGCTACAAAGTAATGCCATTCGGCCTCAAGAACGCCGGGCAACCTACCAGCGAATGATTACATGGATGTTCAAGAACCAACTGGGAAAAACCATGGAAGCATATATAGACGATATGGTAGTAAAAAGCAAGTTCGCTACAGACCATCTTGCAGACTTGAGAAAAGTTTTTGGCATCCTGAAAAACCACCAGCTTTGCCTTAATGCCTCGAAATGCGCTTTCGGGGTAGGAACAGGGAAGTTCTTGGGATACATGGTCACTCACAGAGGAATTGAAGCGAATCCGGATCAGATCAGAGCGATACAGGATCTTGAAGTACCAACAAAGGCTAAGGAACTGCAAAAACTAGCCGGAATGGCGGCCGCACTGAATCGATTTATTAGCAAATCCTCAGATCGGATGAAGCCCTTCTTTCAGCTTTTGAGGAAAAAGACGGCATTTGAATGGAGTAGCGAATGTACCGAAGCACTGCAGAGTCTCAAAAGATACCTCAGCACACCTCTTCTACTGTCCACTCTGGAGCCGGGAGAAGAGTTGTACCTCTATCTAGCAGTCTCAGATCATGCTATGAGCGCAGTGTTAATTCGAGAAGTTGACAAGGAACAGAGGCCTGTCTTTTATGTCAGCAAGACTTTACTAGATGCCGAGACACAGTATATACCGTTGGAAAAGTTGGCATACGCGCTGCTTATCGCCTCAAGAAAGCTGCAGCATTACTTCCAGGGGCATTCCATTAATGTCCTCACTGAATTTCCCCTCAGATCTGTATTTAGCCGAGCCGATTTCTCTGGTAGAACAGCAAAGTGGGCGGTAGAAATTGGTGAGTTTGACATTCGGTATCACCCCAAGACAACGATCAAGGCCCAGGTCTTAGCGGATTTTGTCACAGAATTTGCTCCGACCCAGAGTACCGAACTGGGGGATCCAAGTTCGGCACAGGCGCCATGCACTACCGAACAAGGATATACCTGCGCTTCAGAAGCCTGGAAACTCTTTATTGGAAACATTTGGCAGCTCTATGTTGGTGGATCGTCCAATAACCAAGGCTCGGGGGCAGGAGTAGTACTTATTTGACCAGAAGGGTTTATCTGGGAACAGGCTCTCAGACTCAGTTGGAAGGCTTCAAACAACGAGGCCGAGTACGAAGCGTTATTGGCTGGCTTACGTAGCGCCGAACACTTTAGTACAGAACAACTTCTTGTTTTCAGCGATTCACAACTAGTGGTCAACCAGATTTCTGGGGTCTATGAAACACGAGATGAAAGAATGGCTATGTACGCAGGCAAGGCCAAGGACCTGCTCAGAAAATTTTAATCCATACGAGTAGAACGAATCAGTCGGGACAAAAACGGCCACGCCGATGCTCTGGCATGCCTCGACTCATCAGTGGATACAAAGGATGCTAGAAGAGTTTGGGTTAAGTCTGTGCTAGAACCAAGTATTGTATCTCTAGTCCTCTGCAACAACTTAGAGTTGAGCTGGATGGATCCAATATTTGCTTTTCTAAAATCTGGTACACTTCCCGAAGACAAAAGGTAAGCCAACAAGGTTAGACACAAGTCAGCTCGGTTCTGGATCTCACCATCTAGAAAACTTTACAGACGCTCCTATCTTGGCCCCTACCTCCTATGTGTACATCCAAATCTCGTCGAGAAAGTTCTCTATGAAATTCACGATGGGATTTGTGAATGCCGCGTTGGCGGAAGGTCACTGGCACACCGAGCCCTCACTCACGGGTACTGGTGGCCACGGATGCAAAAAGATGCACAGCAATACGTACAGAAGTGTGATAAATGTCAGAGATTTGCTCCACTCATCCATCAGCCAGCCAAAACTCTCACTCCACTCACCAACCCATGGCCCTTTGCGCAATGGGGTCTGGATATTGTAGAACCATTGGCGCGAAGCACTAGGAACAGGCGATTCTTCATTGCTGCAACCGACTATTTCACTAAGTGGGTTGAAGTTGAGGCATTGGCAAATATCAAAGAAGCAAATACAAAGCGGTTTGTTATGAGAAATGTGGTAACGCGTTTCGGCATCCCGCGGGTACTGATTGCGGATAATGGAACACAGTTTGATGGAAAGATCTTCAGAAAGTTTTGTGCCGACCTCAGGATTGAGTACAGGAACTCTTCTCCAGGGTACCCACAAAGCAATGGACAGGCAGAGGCATCAAACAAGACCATCATCAGCGGAGTCAAGAAACGGCTTGAGCATGCCAAAGGGAAATGGGTTGAAGAGTTACCCCACGTGCTATGGGCATACCGAACCACCGCACGGCGCTCAACGGGTGAAACACCTTACTCCCTAACTTATGGAATGGAGGCCGTCATCCCACTCGAAGTCGGCCTCCCAACCCTTCGATCCGAACTGTTTGAGAACACCAGCAATGAGGAAACTATTGCACAAGCACTGGATATGGCAGAGGGCCGAAGAGAGGTAACGCTGATCAGACTTGTAGCGTATCCGCAGCGACTTATCAAGAGTTACAACCAAAAGGTTTTCCCAAGGCAATTTATACCAGGAGAACTGGTCTTAAGGAAAGTTATGGATCACAAAAGGGTGCCTGGCGAGGGCAAACATGGGCCAAACTGGGAAGGTCCCTACAGAGTCACAATTGTCGTTGGAAATGGAGCCTACTACCTCGAGGATCTAAGTGGCAGAGCTATACCTCGGCCCTGGAACGTAGCAAATCTCAAGAAATACTATCAATAAGATGGTCCCACTTTCTTTATCAGTTTTTATAGGCACTTTTCTCAAATTTATCAAATTCTTGTAATTAGCTTTGATGTTTATCAAACGGAATTAGCTTTGGTTCTTACCAAACGGAATTAGCTTTGGTTCTCACCAAACAGAAATAGCTTTGATGTTTATCAAACGGAATTAGCTTTGGTACTTCCCAAACGGAATTAGCTTTGGCCTTAACCCAAACGGACTTAGTTTTAGAACGACTGAACGGAATTTAAATTTGGTTAGCACTCAAACATGCTAAGTGGTATTACTTGGTGGAATTATGTTTGGCAACTAAATTGGACTTTAGCCAAGTGGAATTTCATGGTGAAAACCGCACTAATATATCTTAAGTAAAAATCTCTATTTAGCCAAGTGGAATTGCATGGTGGAAACCGCACTAATGTATTTTAAGTAAACATCTCTATTTAGCCAAGTGGAGTTGCTTGGTGAAAACCACGCTGACATATCTTAAGTAAACATCTTTGCATCCACAGAGCTTCTTAAGTATCAACACGTCAACACGTCAGTACTGAAGCGAACAAACAAAGTTGGAACAAACTTGGCCAAAGTTCAGCCAGGAGTAGGCCTCCAGCAGTAGTCTTACTCAACTTCAACTGGGGGCAAACGATTATTTTTTCAAACCAAGCTGGACCTGAGTAAGACACCTTTTCATGCCTTTACTCCGTTTAGGCGTTCTTATGCTATCAAAGTTGAAACAGACTTCAGCAGTGCTACCTCAAAGCATAATCTTCAGCGCCGATCTTACTTAGCTCCAGGTGGGGGCAAACAATTTTTTTCTTTCAGAACCAACCTGGACCTAAGTAAGACCTACTTACGAACTCCAACACCGCTATACCACATATCCGTTAGCCACATCGAGCACAAGTTCGGCCCCGAGGTCCCAACAGTGCTCGGTCGGGGGCAAACAGTACAGTTTCACACCGAGCATCAATTCGGCCCCGAGGCCCCAACAACGCTCGGCTGGGGGCAAACAGTACAGAATCAGACAGAACATCCATTTAAAGGCAATACAGAACCAGACTGAGCATCTATTCGGCCCCGAGGTCCCAACAGTGCTCGGCCGGGGGCAGGCAGTATAGGAAACATTCAA